TATCTTTTATTCATTTTTATACATGTTTAGTACTTTTTATCTTTTATTTTTAGTGGTTTAGATTAGTTTTATTTTAATTTTCATTTTTACAATTTTTAATTTTTTTTTGAAAACAGTACTCCCTCCGTCCCATTTTATAATGCTTGTTTCAGTTTACGATGTTTGACTGAAATTATTTTCAAATCATTTTATATGACAAATGGTATATAGTTTAAAAATAAAAATTATACATTAAAATACTACATCAAAAGATCTACAAAATTAGTAGTAACAATATTACTTTATTTTATCAAATTGCTAATGAAAATAGAGAAAGAAAGTGAATGAAATTGGACCATGTGAATAGTGAACACACATTATAATTTGGGACGGAAGGAGTAGTTTTAATCATCTTTTCTTCTCCAATTTCTAAGTAAAATTTTTTTATATATTCAATTTTACATTTTTGTATGCTTGTTTTTGTTAATTTCGAAATTTCCAAAAAATATATGGTTTGGTGTTTTTTTGGGTGCTTGTTCTTTATTTTTTTGAATATTTATATTAAACCTCTTATTAATGAAAATTGATTTATACTAGTTTTCTTCAAATTTTGTTCAAGTTGTTGTTGAATTGGTTTAACTGCTTAATTTGATTTCATAAGTAGGTTGGTATGTGAAATTCGGTTTTCACTAAAGCTATTTTAGTTTTAGAATTCATAACTACTTCTTTGTTGTGATGTGTCTTTGTAAAAATTTAAGATTGATGAACTTTTTTGCCCCATAAGTTCATTTTCCTTAAGAATTGTTATTGAGTGATTGTTTATGTGATCGTGTGTGTATTATTTTCATAAAAATTTAAGGTTGTCTAAATACAAAAATAATTCTTAATTTAATGAGAATATATAATGTTCTCTTATGTGAATAGACTAGAATTTTTATGTTTGAAGTGTTCATGGAGACCTATAAAATATTTTCACCATTAGACGTTAAAGTTTATTAAAGTACATAAAATGTTTTTTAGGGATAAATTATGCACGGGACTTGGAATGATAAAATTTGCTCTTTTATAGACTTTTTCATCTTTTAGAATCATTGTTTGAGCATTTGATTGGTGAGTTGTGGTTCTTGATGTATCTCACTATGAAATTCTTGAATTACATGACTTTGGGCCTTATTGAGAGTTGACGATTCTCTATATGTGGTCAATGATATGATTCAACTCGATCCTTTGAATTATTTTCTATTCTTATGTACGTAAGTTAGATGATATATTGTCTACGTGTAATATTTGACTTGTGTGTTTGTTCTATTTTTAATTTTGTTGAGGACCCGTCATGCGGTCCAAAACAAATTAAAAATTTATAAATACTCCTAAGTTAACCCCAAGATATAATCAAGTAAAAATCATAGCTAAGGCAAATAAGGGTCGATGGCACAGAAAAAGTTTGTATTTTTTAAAAATCAATTTAGCATGCAAACACATTTTCACTAAACAAAACAAAAAAACAATCTAGCTACTTCACATATTATAAGAACTTATAGAACTTATAATAAAACTTAAAGTTTAAATAAATTATTGTTATTATAATTTATATTATTATTATTATTATTTAATAATCGTTATTAAGTAGGGACATGATAAAGATTTAAAACCATGTTTTTTATGAGAAAAGATTTTAAAAAGTAAGGAACTAACAAAAAAAAATATCGGACCGATGATATTATTAGTATTATTATTCTTCTTTAAAAAAAGCAAAGGAAGTTATTTTCAAACAAGATTGTGTCTTTAATGTAAACAAAATCAAAAAGGAAAGAACAAACCGTTTTTTATGGGAACAAATTAAAAAAAGTAAAGAATTAAAAAAGAAATATAAGACTGATGTTATTATTATTATTATTTAAAATCGTGATTATTTTAGTACATGAAAAATATTTAAAACTGTGTTTTTTATGGGATCTGATTAAAATAGTAAAGAATTAATTAACAAACAAGAAATATAGGACCGATGATATTATTATTTTATTTAGAAAAAGCAAAGGAAGTTATTTTTAAATAATAGTATGTTTTTAATGTAAACAGAATTAAAAAAGAAAGACGAAATCGTATTTTTTAATGGGAATAGATCAAAAAAATATAGGATCAATAATGCTATTGTTGTTGTTTTTATTGTTATTCTTTAAAATCATGATTATTTTAGCACATGAAAAATATTCTTTTTAAAAAAGAAAAAGAAATTATTTGTAAACAAGAGTGAATTAGCAAAAAAAAAAAATATCATACCGATGATATTATTAGTGTTATTATTCTTATTTAAAAAAGAAAAGGAAATTATTTTTAAACTAGAGTGTGTCTTTAATGTAAAAAAAATTAAAAAAGAAAGAAATAACCATTTTTATGGTAACAGATTAAAAAGTAAAGAATTAACAAGCAAGGAATTATAGGACCGATGCTATTATTATTATTATTATTATTATTATTATTATTCTTTAAAATTGTGATTACTTTAGTACATAAAATATATTAAAAAAATATATTTTTTAATGAGAAATCATTAAAAATAGTAAAGAATTAAAAAAAAAGAAATATAGGACCGATGACATCATTATTATTATTACTTAGAAAAGCAAAGGAGGTTGTTTTTAAAATATAGTATGTTTTCAATGCAAACAGAACTAAAAAGGAAAGACGAAACCATATTTTTAATGGGAACAAATTTAAAAAATTAAAGAAATAACAAAGAAATTGTATTTTTATGGGAACAGATTAAAAAAGTAAAGAATTGACAAAAAAATCTAGACTGATTATATTACTATTTTTAATATTATTCTTTAAAAAAAGAAAAGGAAGCTATTAATATTGGGCCTGTTTGGGAATAACGTTACTGATCATCGTTAGCGTTTTGAAAAGGCTATATACGGGCAGCGTTTGAGTTTAGCGTTTTAAAATAATCTACACCGTTAAAATTTTATCCAAAACGCTACAATATATGAATGAAAATAAAGAGGAATGTTTATTCTAATTTTCTTTAATAATAAATATATTTATTATTATTTGTAGAATGGACATTATTAGATAATTGATGGTGTGGTTGAGATTGAAAGCACAGTTGAATGTTGCTACCTTGGTTGTAAGACATGCAACAGTAAATTTATTCCAAATGGTTTGTGATTTAAATGCAAGAAATGCAAGAGATATTATCTCGATAGAGTGTATAGGTTATATCATTTATATTTATTTAATTAAATAAATTTACAACATTTTAAAATTTTAATAAAAATGATATTCTATTTATTAAGTACAAGGTAAGTGTATGTGTTATAGACAACTCAGACAGTGCTTCTTTATTACTCTAGGATAAAAAATGTGTGAACTTTTTCGGTATGCAAGCTAGCATGATGAAAATCTTGGTCTACGAGATATTGAAATTCTAATAAAATGTTTTTAATTGATATTTTCAAAAAGATTGTTGCTTGACTTAATGTAATAATTTATATCCATTGATAATATAATGACATGATGACCCAAGAAAGATTCCAAAGGAGATTCTCGAAATAATTCATGAGAGTGCTCTATTCAATGTATTTGTAAAGGGAGATATCGAGATTTAGTCTGATTATGTTAAGAATAATTCTTATGGAGTGTATGACCTTATTTGGGATAAGTCGATTATCTCAAAGTATGAAACTATTGAAGCGGACGATGACTTTGACCAAATGTGTAAGAAACATGTCAGATTATTATAACAGAAACCGGTGTTTAGTCATGGACAATCATTTGTTGCGGTTTCATAACTAACAAATCGTAATAGCTTGAAGATTCTTATTGACGATGCAGAACATGTTTCCACAAGATTTACTACTAATGTAGTTTATAAAGAAGTTTTCCAGAATTTGTAATTTATATGATATTAATGTTTTACATAAACAAAAAACATTATATTTCATTATATGGTGTACTTATTTACTTTTATAATAATGCCAACATAAATTTATAACGTTAATACAAATCGTGCAACGCACAGGTGTGATACTAATATACTAATATAAAAGAGTAAAGTATAAAAAGACTTATATTCATAACTTATAACCAAACACTTATATATAAATTTAGTAAATAAAAACTTATATTATACCATAACACAAAGGGGGGGTGATAAAAGAAGCAAATGTTTTCTTTGTTTTTTTATATTTTTCTCATTTTTTTGGGGTTTTTGATAAAATGGGGGAAAACATGCTCAAAAGATAATCACCTTCTCCAACTTAGGTAACTCAAGAAACACCGTCAAGAATCCGAAACAAAATTTAAAAAGAACAAACAGACAAGTCAAACATTACACATTGAATAAGCACATAGACAATATATTATCTAACTTACACACATAAGAATAGAAAATAATTTAAAGGCTCGAGTAGAATCATATCATTGAACACATATATAGGATCGTCAACTCCCTCTAAGGCCCGGAGTTATGTAAGAATTTCATAATGAGATACATCAAGAACCACAACTCACCAATCAAACGCTCACACAATGATTCCAAAAGAAGAAAAAGTTTATAAAAGAGCAATTTTTTTCATCTTAACTCCCATATATAATTTATCCGTAAAGAACATTTTATGCACTTTAATAAACACCTCGAGCATAAGAATTCTAGTCTTGATGAAAAATATTTTGCAGGTTTCCATGAACACCTGATACGGTATCGTATCGGGATAAAAAAGGATTTACACCTTCGAGCTATAGAATTGAGGAAAAAGAAGAGATTGAGAAAGGAGAGGGGAAGACGGCCGTTGATCGGCAAGGAGGAGAGGGGGAATTTAGGGTTAGGGAAATATTTCTTTATTGATTGAATAATAATTTTATGAGTAATGGCTACATATATAGATGGTAGATCTAAAGAATCCTAACCATACAAGGTAACTAAATAAACCATAATACTAATAATCTAATATAATTATACCTCCTAATAAGAATATAATTATCTAACCATAAATAATAAAACTACCTATAATAATAATAGTAATATAATAATAATGGTAAATAACTAAATATAAACCCGTATCACTCTTCCTGTCTTGAAAACCAACTTGTCCTCAAGTTGGAAATCAAATAAAGAACGGGAAAAAATTACACCGTTCATCGACCATCCTCCGGGGTCAAACACCTTGATCCTTGGAGCACCAAAAGAATGTGTGGGATCCAAAGCACCATCCGTATGAAGAAAACTGCTCCATGTAACCAACGGTTGAAAAACGATGTCCTCTTGCGCAAAACATTTAGAACCACAAAAGACAATAACCTCAATAGCTCTTGTCTCAAATTCCTTTGTGCATCCAGAAAAAATCACATTGTTGCCTGGGGAAACTTTCTTCAGGATAGAGAGGCTTCGCCAATGGTTGTCTCCATTAACACCATTTGTAGGGGCATGATCAGTCACAATCAGAGGAACACCATCGGGGCACTGTTCGGGTAGGCACTCAGACTCGTAAGTTGACTCAACAACTCGAGCACTAGCACAAGCACTAGTATCCATGACATCAGACCCACTTTTCCTGTCATCCTCGACGCATGGCTCGGCGCTTGAATTTTCTACAACAGAACCAGTGTAGCCGGTTGTGTCTTCCACGATTTGAACAATCACCTCCCCAGCCTGAGGGGCTAGAGTTGGTGGAGAAAGTGGCGCCACGATGAGTTTCCTTACCGCGCTCATCATATTTTTTTTTGAACAAGTGTAACTCTATCGGGATCAAACTTGGCATAAATGGAGAACCACGAATTAAATCCTGGATTGAGCAAGAAATTTCTACGTTGAACGCATATAAGTCCAGATCATAAGATAATTGACCTTTAATATGACGAAGCGACTGGAGTTTCTTTATAAGATCGTCAACGGAATCGTCAATTGCACATATCCCTTCCTCGAATGTAGTTTTTCCATAAACAACATTCTTTACTAAACCAAGAAGATTATCAACTCTAACATTGAATGTATCAATAGAAGGTTGGCAATCTCCAAACATAATTAATTATCAGGCAGTCACAAAAGTAAATAAATAAGAACTCACGGGTTTGGATGCCCTTAAGGCTGGTGCAAAGCGGTTCTATGCAACTGATCTGCTTACTCAAACCAAGATAGATAAGAGGAGAATGATCTGCCCAATGCAAAAAAACTCTATTGTAGCCACTCAATCGGCGGGGAAAAAAATGAATTTGGCAAGGAACTTTTTATGTCTTTGGGTGGTAGAAGGAATCTGCCAATTCCCACTTCAAAATTGCTTCGCCGCTATTCTTTTTTTTTTCTTTCAAAACCCAATATGTGGATTGTGGAGTGCTACCTTGAAATCTGCACAAGCCAAATATTGCCACTGATCCGCAAATTGCCACCACCAAAAGCACAGGATCTGAGATTGGGTGGCAGCGACAACGACAATTTTTTTGTTGGTTTTTTTTAGTGAGTTCAACAATGAGAGCACCAATTGATACGGTATCGTATCGGGATAAAGAAGGATTTACACCTTCGAGCTATAGAATTGAGGAAAAAGAAGAGATTGAGAAAGGAGAGGGGAAGACGGCCGTTGATCGGCAAGGAGGAGAGGGGGAATTTAGGGTTAGGGAAATATTTCTTTATTGATTGAATAATAATTTTATGAGTAATGGCTACATATATAGATGGTAGATCTAAAGAATCCTAACCATACAAGGTAACTAAATAAACCATAATACTAATAATCTAATATAATTATACCTCCTAATAAGAATATAATTATCTAACCATAAATAATAAAACTACCTATAATAATAATAGTAATATAATAATAATGGTAAATAACTAAATATAAACCCGTATCAACACCTCGAGCATAAGAATTCTAGTCTATTCACATAAGAGAACACTACATATTTTCATTAAATTAAGAGTTGTTTTGTGCTTAAACAACCTTAATTTTTTTTGAAAATAACAACACACGATCACATAAAAGAATAGAAGTGAAGTAAAGGAAGTATGTGAAGTAAAGGAAGGAGAATAATGTCAAAAAGAAAAACCAGAAGAATCTAGCTGCTTTCCATTCAAATCCCACCATGGCATACACTATGAGCGTGTTATATGATGTTTGAAGAAGAAGATATGGTATTTCACAGATGACCCGCAACACATACAAAGGCCATGAGCAAGACACGGTTGGAGCTTCTTATTCCCAAATTGGGCATTTTACTGTTACATGCTCTAACTTCTCTATTATTACCATTATTATATTATTTGATTTGATGCCCGTATGGTAGTAATTGTATAGGATCTATGTTTCCTATTTTGATCTATTTCCTTGTATATCTTTTTTTCTTTTTAGACTCAGAATTCCCAATTCAATATGTGGGTTTCTATAAATACTGCATTGTCTTTTATTTCATTCATTTAGAAATATACAATTATATTTCACCAAATATTCTTAAACAACCTAAACAACCGGTGGCTAAAGGTTTCCACTATGTTTGAGAAGGAAAACATTTTTCTTGTTTGGTTAGAGAGGAAAAGAAAAGAAAGTGGGAAGGAAAAGAAAATGAGAAAGAAAAATGTACTAAGAGGAGGGAAAACCAAATTCCTCTCATTTTGGGGAGGAAACTGAGGAAAAACCATTTTCTTTTCTTTTCCTTCCAGATTCCTTGAACCAAACATAGCGTTCAAGTACTCAATATTACATCATCTGTTGGTCATGGTCCGTGGTTGCTGCACGCTAAATCTTTCATGCATCTTATCAATAGAAAGAGCAAATTCCTAGTGTGTGCATCAATAAAAACACTGCAACGCCCCCGACTAAATAATTTTATATGATGATTAAAGTAGTAATATATTAAATTCCAACAATATGTGCTACCATAAATGCTTTTATGATATGTTGTTTAATATCTATCTAAGCTGGAAGTTCAATGTCTTAATGCAATGAGAATACATGAAAGCAAAGAACAGTGCAAAACCAATGAGAACTGCCGCTACGGGTCCCATGAAGTCTGGTTCATACCCAAAATGATCTTTGATGTAATCTTTGATCCGTGGATCAGATATCATTCCTTCAACCTTAATTGTCTCTTCTACATCGCCATATTGTGAGACAATGCATCCATATACGGTCCATGCCACAGGACAAATCCAGTAATACCAAATCCACCACTTTGGAATTTTCTGTAGATGTAACAACATGAATTAGAATTTCCAGTATTTTTTCTTTTTTGTGGCATGCTTTGTTGGGAAATGTAGGAGAGAAGGTGTAAACTCACAGGTCTGGGGATGAAGAAACCAGAGAAAAGGTTGAAGAGCGCATAGAATGCTGCAGCAAAGATGGCTGCCACTTGGTGGTTAGGTGTGATTGAAACGGTCATCATCCCATAGTAAGTGAAGTAAAGGAAGGAGAAGAATGTCACAAAGAAAAACCAGAAGAATTTAGCCGCTTTCCAGTCAAATCCCACCATGGCATACACTATGAGAGTGTAATATGATGTTTGAAGAAGAACATATGGTATTTCACAAATGACCTGCAAGAAGAAGGTTTAGTAGATTGCTTGAGATGCTAGATAGATTTCTTGGAATGGAAAAATGACTTTTGTTTCCCACCTGTGACATTGCATATGGTAATGCAGAATACATTCCAGCAGCTTTTTCACGATAAAACACACTTCTCTCAGTAGAAACTATGGGTTGTACAGTGGAGCAATTGCTGATACCAACAAACAGTACAGCTGCATACATAGCTCCAATGACAGTCATAAGGTCACTTCCAGTTTTTCTGCATCACACATTCAAATACAGGGTGTTTTAGAATATTTTAGTACACAAAATATTAATCCTTAAAAGGCTTCTTAATTTATAAGTGGTTCATTCTATTTGGATTAAAGGCGTACATTTTGCCTCCGATGTCCCAAAAAATTGTGCCGATCATGAGTGCTGCAACCAAAGTGAAGAAGTATCTCACAAGATTGTAATCCGGACTCCTCCAATAAGTCCACCACTGCTTCCAGATGCAGGATTTGAATTGGCCCCATGTTGACTGAGAATATTGGGTAGCAAAATAAAGATCCTTTGCTCCAGGTGGAGGAGTACTCAATTCTTGCACAAGTTCTTTGTTTCTTCTGTGCATTGTATGGCATTTAAACATTTGAGATTCCAATATCACACGAGGTGCCAGATAATGATCGATTCATTCCAGTATTGTGTGTTATTAATTACAGTTAGATTTTAAACTTACAGATGTAAAGATGAACTTTTGTAGTGTTCAGCAAAATCCATTCCGAGTCTGGTTTCCATGGAGACAGAACTCACTTCTAACATCCAGGTAGCTGGATTGTAATTCTTTGTGATTTTAGATACCCCCGGCACTGCCTGTGATACATGATCATGCAATTCTATTAGTTGTTTGTACCTTCTTAAATAATACAAAAATTAAAGAAGTCATATCATATGCACCAGTACCTCAAAATACTCGATGATTTTATGAGAGTTTCGGCCTAATGGCCCTGCATAAATCACTTGCCCTCCTCTTTTCATAAGTAGCAACTGATGATTCACAATACATACAAAAGCATCATGTATTAAATTAAAGAGAAAACCCAACATCATTCTGTAAACTTTTCACCTGAAACTCTTCAAGTTTCAACCAACCTCATCAAATGCTTCAAAAATGTCAATGCTAGGTTGATGAATGGTGCAAACTACAGTTCTTCCTGTGTCCACCGTGTTTCTAACAGTTCGCATAACAATGGCTGCTGCTCTTGCATCGAGACCAGACGTGGGCTCGTCCATGAATATAATTGAAGGATTGGCCACTAATTCAACTGCAATCGTCAACCTCTTCCGCTGTTCGGTAGAGAGGCCAGAAACTCCGGGTATCCCAACAATTGCGTCCTTGAGGTTATCCAGCTCAACCAAATTCACTACTTCATCTACAAAAGTCTAGACGAAAAATAATAAAAAAAACGTCAAAATAATCGAGTGTTCGTATTTCAGAAGAAGAGAAAGACTATGGGGCGGGCTCTCCTACCAGTTTATCCTCTTTTCCAACTTCTTTAGAAAGTCGGAGAAAAGCTGAAAATATCAAAGATTCATGCACAGTTACTTGGGGTGAATGTACGTCATTCTGTTCACAGTAACCGGAGACTCTAGCAAATGTTTCTTGCTTCTTTGGAAATCCTGATATTCTGATGTCCCCTTCAACGTAACCACCAGTTTTTCGTCCTGCTAAAACATCCATTAGTGTAGTTTTTCCTGCCCCACTGACTCCCATCAATGCGGTCAAAACTCCAGGCCTAAAGGCACCTGTTACCCCCTTTAGTAATTGGAGTTTATCCTCTGTCACTCCTTGATCCCTCATTTCCTATTAACATAGTATCACTTATATGTCATACAAAACAATTTTACATATTCTGAAATGAAAAGGGAGGCACATGTCATTGATTATATTCTTACAGCCGGCATGTCCACGAAATATTTCAGGTCATCAAAGGACATTGCTAAGGGCGTGAATGGTAGAAGCATTCCTCGCTTTGGAGCTATACCATTTGTGGACTCCTTGCTCGAATCTTCATTCCTATTGAGACCGCTTCTATTGACACGACTACTCATGCGCCGAATTTCCATTTCTCCTAGAAAACAAAACCAAAAATTGATAAGAAACTAAAATATCAGCTTGGAAATTGTTTGCCATATATTCACAAAAAAAGAATTGTTACTTGTGTTATTTCCATCGGCTGCCGAGAGTGAATGAGGAAGTCCACCTTTCCTTGAATTTGTTGTTCTTAGTCTTGGGGATTCTGTGGACTCTTCTTCATCATTTTCCATCTCCTTTGCTTGATCTTTGGATATTACAGCTTTTTTCTGTTCGAGGGCTGTTGCGAAAAACAATACTTGATGATTGTGATGATAAAGCCGTGCAATAACATAATTCAATGAGGTTTGAGTTTGCTACATACGGTTGAGGTATGTGAGAGCAAATGTGAACAGAATGTTAAAGAGAATGGTGAACCCCAAAAGTGCAATGGAACCTATCCAAAACCATCTCTTTTCAGGGAACACGTCAAAGTTCCTCATCACTTTAAGTCCCACTCTTGTATTGTTTGAAGTCTAGCAACACACACAAATGGAACAAAGAGTCATCAGGATATACGGAAGCTAAAAACATTTACAAAAATGAAGAGAAATATACTCTCACAAGTCACAAGCAAACGTACCACTTTGTTCATCCATCTAGGAGCAAACATCTCGTTGATAGTTATCGAGTTAAACGCGTAACTTAGGGGAGAAATCCAAAAACCCCAACCCCACCAGTCTGGGATAGAACCTGCAATAAAAAAAAGTAGAGTTTGGTTAACCTAAACAAAAAGTGCATCTTACAATTGTTCTCTGATAGTTGTTTTGGACAAACCTTTGGGGAGGATGAAACCACCTAAGAGGAAGACGAGTAGGAGGCTCAAAGCTCCACCTGTATTAGCAATAACCATCGTCCTACAAAGCGCTGCAATGAGCCTAAATAAACCAGAAGCCATCTGCTGGATCAGAAAAATCGCCATAAATTGCTTGAAGAATCTGCTTGCTTCAGGTGAGAATCCAATCGTGTAGTATGTAGTGACCATCCACACAGTGGTCTCGAAAACAGATATGGGGATTTTCAAAAGAAATGTAGGGAGAGTGAAAGCCCAAGGTGGGTGGAAGAGAAGATCCCTCTGCTTGTAGAAGACGGGAAGCCTCTGGATGGTCATTGACAGTTCTGAGAATCCATTGAACATGTTAGTGATGATTGCAAACAAGAGTGCGCCAATGTAGACCCCTCCGTCCTCTTCATTCCTAGTGTGCATCTTGGTTCTGAAAAACACAGTGGACGCAATGATGGCGACGATGATGATCTGAACAGTTTTGAATACATACACAAAAGAGTTCCTCTTGATTAACAACCATTCTTTGTCAAAATTGGCACTCAAAAGCTCCCTGATCGGCACTGTGTACTTCTTGAACACCAGAGCTGCTTTATGGTTTCTTGATTTCTCATACGGCACAGATAGTTCATTGTCCAGACGTAACCCCACGTGGAATCTCTTGAACTTTCTCGCGAATTCTTTCACAGATATGTAACTGTATGGCTTTCCCTTGTCTTCCCAATATTGTTCTTGATCCTTTCTCGACGTTACCTGTATACAACCGTAAACTCTGCATGGATGTTTCTCTGTCTCTAGTACGTACTCAAAATGTTTTACCATTTCATTTATCTTTACTATTCCACCAATATACTTTCAAATTTAACTCCATATATAGGGAAAATATTAGTACTTTGCTGCTAACACCCGGTTGCCAAATGCTCATTTATTAGCAATTTAGCATGTTAAGCTCACTTATTAAGAGAAATATGTTTCATATCATTATTCTTGGAACAAAAATAAAATAATTTTGTTGTGGTTAGTTGTAACTGTACTTGAGACATAAAACATCTAAGTTGCCTATTTTACTCTAGTAATAGGGATCAAGCCACATGTGATCCGTTTTTGTACTTTTCCTCCATTAAAAAATAATAATTTTTTTAAATGATCTGATTAAATAGTCCAAAATGTGATCAAGTAAAGCAAATTTCTAAAAGTTTCTTATTTGTCCAATTATACATGGAAAGTGACAAACAAGGACAATAAGATAGAACATTTGGATAGAGCAAATGAAACCAGGTTGCTCGATCTTCGGTACAATTTGCTAATGTATTTTAAGAAAAAATGTTAGAGTCACAAACACAAAGATCACAAAGTACATTATCTTACAATTTGTACACTTCACATAGAAAACAAATTAATTTTAAAGAATTAAAAAGTAAAAGTTTATGTATTTTGTGAATTTATGTTTGTAACTCAAGAATTTTTTACATTTTAATAGTAACATCACACAAATACACTTGAAAAAATAAAATGAATTATCGTTGTCTCCAATTAATTGTTACAGTCTACTAATCAGGATTTAAATTTAATCCATTTATTTCTTTAATTTAATTACTAATTTGACAAAATAAAATAGTGTTGTGTGAGTAGATATTTAATTTAATAAAATAATGTTGCATTATTTCTTTTGAAACAGATACTATATCCCAAGTCAAGTTGTGTGAGTAGATCGATATCTGGAAGGATTTTCTATTCGACTTGAGAAAAAAATTCATACTTCAAACATGTTTAAAGAATGGAAAGGTAAAAATAAAGTACCGCGTACCTCTTGCAAGAAGTCAGCTGTGCCTTTTCTATCTGGGCATTTGAATCCACAAGACTCGAAGAATTCAAGGATATGTTCTCTTGGGCCTTGGTACACAATCTGGCCTTCAGATAGGAGAATGACATCATCAAACAGATCGAAGGTCTCAGGAGCAGGCTGGAGGAGGGACATCAAGATGGTCCCCTCAGTCAGGTGCACAATCTGTTGTAGACATTTCACTATTTGGAATGTTGTTGAGCTGTCAAGGCCCGTTGATATCTCGTCCATGAATAAAGTTTTGGTCGGCCCAACAATGATCTCCCCTGCATTTTTTACCTCCAAACCATGAGGCCCATTTTTAGTGAGTAGTACAAAAATATATCCCGAATCAATTTTCTTTAATTCTGACCTGTAGTCACTCGCTTTTTTTGACCCCCTGAAATGCCTCTTATCATTTCATCTCCAACTATCGTATCACGGCACACATCAAGTCCCAATATCTGCACCAATTAATTATTCAATTTAAATTTACTTTGCCATCATCAGAAATCAAATACACTAACCCTTTACTGCCAAACAAAATCTTCATTTCCTTTTAGACTCCGCTTAGTTACGTAATTCAAACTATGGAATCGGAATTGGAGACAACAGTTTCAATTTTTCTTTTGTTTGGTAGCAAAAAAAAATGGATTTGGAATTGGTAGTGCCAAAACTGAATAGAAATAGGAGAATTAAATTCCATGCAAATTAATTCCATAGAATTTTAACTCGTAATTCAATTCCTATTCCGTCAATTCCGTGTACCAAACGGACCCTTAGACTTTATTTGTTACATTGGAATTGTATTCGAATTCAAATTCTATGGAATTGAAATGTAATTTAAATCAAAATTTTTTGTTTGATATAATTAAAAAATGAAAGAGAATTGTATCGTAATTCTAATTTTTTGGTTTGATAACACAAAATTGCAATTAGAATTGTAATTTGGAAATTTCTCACAGTCAAGTAATTCAAACCCAAGCTATGTTGGCGATTTTTTTTTAAAATAGGTTAAATTATCTAATTTTAAAATTTTAAACAGCTGAACATAAAATTTAAAGTTTATGATTTAAAACATAAAATTTAAAATGTAACATTTAAAATTTAAAAAAATAAAAATCAAATATTAAAAACTAAACATTAAAATTTTAATTTTAAAAATTAAAAATTAAAAATCAAACATGAAAGATATAAGGGTATATTTGGTTGGAGGGAGAATATTTTTTAGAAACATTTTGATTTTATTTTCTTATCTTTGGAACATTAGTGTTATGAAAATATTTTCGGGAAAAATATTTTCTCCTAATAGGGAGAAAATAATTTGTGTTTGAATTTGAAAGAAAATTTTCATTCTCTCTTCGCTTCGTTCCTCATGTACGCCCCCATCAACCTCATACCCCTTTTCCCCTCACCAATGTCCATCTCATGCTCCTTTCCCTCCCACCCCACCCCAACCCTCTACGGCCCTCACCCTTATGATCGGAAGATATATATTCTTTTAGAAAATAGTAAGATAATTATGTGATATATTAATTTGATTTTAAAATTTGCATTATTTTTTTTTTAAAAATTATCCGCCACCAGTTTTCACAAGATATATTTGCACTAAATAGCACTAAAACATAAGTCATTTCCTAATGTAGGACTTTAACTTTTTTATTCCCTAAATAGCACTTAATAATATCTAGAAGGAGGAATAATGTCCATTGACGGTGAAGATTTACTTGAATAATGACTAATCGATAATGACTAAAAGTGCTACATTAGAAAATAAAAACATATGATGCTGTTTAGGGAAGGTCGTTATATTTTAGTACTATTTAGGTAAATTTCTCTTTTCACAATGAAATACTACCTCTGTTCCATAGTATTTGTTCAATTTTGAGTTTTTGTAGTTACAATTGATAAACTTTGACCATTAATTAAATAAAATTTATATGGGAGAAAGACCAAAGTAGGACTAAAACATTGAAAATATACCAAAATAGAACTTCCATGTTTTTATTATCAAAATAGGACTTAAAATGCAGTTACATTACCAAACATGGTTATGTACATTACCAAAAAGTATAGTAATGTGCACGTGTACAGTGTGACATTACAACTACATTACCACAGTGTGAAGTCTTATCTTGGGAAAAAAACATGAAAGTCCTATTTTGGTACTTTTTTCTATGTTTTAGTCCTATTTAAGGTGATTTCTAAATTTATATTAGGTATTGATACAAAAATAATTTAATTAGATTTTTTTAGTAAAATATTTTCTAATATCATTTTATCTAATTAATATACAGAGTATATGTTATTTTTATTTAATTAATGTTCAAAGGTTGATTTTGGTTAACTACAAAAAGTGAAAAATTGGACAAAAATTCTCTCATGGAGAGAAAATTAATTGAGAGGAATATATGGAGAGTATCCCATAAGGCTAAGGGTCCGTTCCGTAGGACTTATTTTTTCTACTTATTACTTATTCTTATTAAAATCAGATCAGATCAGACCTAATCAGATCAGATCAGACCTCATCAGATCAGATCAGATCCAATCAAATCAGATCAGACAATCAGATCAGACTCAATCAGATCAGATCCAATCAGATCAGACCAGATCCAATCAGATCAGACCAGATCAAATCCAATAATATCAAATCAAGAAAAAATATAAAAGATAATAATTACTTTTGATTCAATGATTAAATAATAATTACTATTATTTGATTAAATCACATTATTTTATTTAAAACTACACACACTTAAATCTTAATTAATGTTATAACTTTAAATATTATTGTTTTTATATTATTATTATTATTATTATTATTATTATATTTCAACTACAAACCATTATTTTAAATAATTGTTTAGCTTGTAGGATAGAAATGATGCATGGAAGCAATTTTTTTTTGAACCGAATGCAAATAATATTTTTCATACTTTAAAAAGATTTATTTTAAAATACTTGTTTATAAAATAATTATACAAAACTTAGTTTTCAAAACTTATTTATAAAATATGAATTTTTCTGAATGAAAATTTGAAATTCTACCATATTATATGTGTTCCCACTTAAATACTGTTTTAACTATCTCCACTTTGTGATATTAGTGTTTAAAATTTTATATGATCTTTAATTTGTAACATGAAATATATTACCAGTATTATGTAATATGCATATACAATGTGATATTTTTGTAGAATAGCATCAATATTTTCTAGTATTTGTTTATTTTAATACCGATTATTTAGTTTTCACAAAAATTAAAAAAGTTGTGATATTGAAAAGATGTTTAATATTTTAAAAATTTTTAAAGATATTAATGATTAGCTGATTTTTTTATTTTACTTTTTTATGTATATATGAATTGTAATACTTTAAAACTATTAAATTTTGTAATAATTTTAAGTTTAATTTAAATCAAATTTAAATTCATTTACACCAGATCTAGTCATCAGATCAGATCCAATCAGATCAGATCAGATTCCATCAGATCAGATCAGATCCAATCAGATCAGATCAAACCCAATCAGATCAGATCAGACCCAATCAGATCAAATCAGAACCAATCAGATCAGATCCAATCAGATCAGATCAGATCTAATCAGATCAGACCCAATCAGATCAGATCAGAACTTCAAAAATTCAGATCAGATTCAATCAGATCAGGCGTATGGAACAGAACCTAAGTCCATGAGTTGTGCTTCCATCTTCCCTTTTTTGAACTAAACGTCACGTCCGGTTTTATTTTTCATTCTTCTTCCCTTCCTCTTCCAAGGAAATACATTCTCCTTTCCCTTCAATTTTTACTATATTTTAACACTTATTTTTATTTAAATAATTAAACTAAAATATGAAAAAAAATAAAAGTTTACTCTTTCAATTTGAAATATTATTTTTTAATACTTAAAATAATTAAAATGATTGAACTAAATATATAAAATACAATTAAATAATACCCCATAGTACAAACTTACAAAAACTCAAAATAAAAAAAATAAAAATTAAAAAAATTAAAATTAAAAAAATGAAAAACAATTAAAAAAACTTTAAAAAAGGAAAAGAAGCAACAAAAAAAGATAAAAGAAAGAAGCAAAACAAAAAAAGAACAAAGAAGCAAAAGAGATGAAAAAAGAAACCCAGAAAAATCGGACGGGAAAAATTGACAGGGGCTCTCGCTCTTCCCGTTCCCGTCGGAGGAAGGTGGTGTTCCCCTTCTCTTCCCTCGCCACATGGCATCTCGCAAAGCCTTCCAGCATGGCACAACGGAGGGCCTAATTGGTATGGGGACGGGAAGGAGACGGGAAGAGTGATGTGGCACTGCGAGAGGGAGGGGAACATCGACCTCCCCATGCGGGGACTGAAAAGGCGAGTCCTCCTTCCCGTATTTCCGATTTCTATTTCACTTCTTTTTCTTTTTTTTACTTTTCCTTTCCTCTCTTTCCTTCTTTGTTGTTTTTTTGTTGCCCTCTCATTTTAGATTTTTTTTTCTTCTCTTTTTTTTTGCATTTATTTTTTTTGTTAGACATATATGGAAAGAAGTCTAGTTATAGTAGAATTGTTATTTATGTTAGTTTACTTATTTGGTGAATCCTAGTCCATGTAGGGATCCTCACCTATATAATCATCCATGTACACAATTATTCCTTAAGAGTGAATTCATAAATCAACATGGTATCAGAGCGCGGAGATCCGTCTCGACCTACTCCGTCGCTGCGTTAACCGAAGAAAAAAAAATTCGGCGTTGCCGATCTGCTTCTCCCTCGCACCAGCTTCTGCCGTGACCAGTCATGGCTGTCTTATCACCTGATCCTATGGATCATCTTCCTACGGGTCTCAAATTGTTTGTCCGAAATCTTCAATCCCTAACTCCGGTCAAGCTTGATGACACCAATTATCCCTCTTGGTCAGCTACTGTTCGTGCAAATCTTCTTGCTCATCGCTTACTCAGTTATGTTGATGGATCTGAACCATCACCACCGGCTCTTATTCTTGATGAGAAGGCTACGGCACCAAGCAAGGATGCACCCCCGGTTATGAAACCAAATCCAGCGTATGAATCGTGGCTTATTGTTGATGCTCAGATTCGGGCCTGTCTCCTTGCGATTGTTTCCCCCACTGTTCAGACTCATATTCATGCTCTTCCCACTTCTGCTGCAATCTGGAATCATCTCGAACAACGGTACAATTCTCTTTCACGCACTCATATTTTTCAACTGAAGGAGCGCTTGCACAGTGTT